AGCCCGTGTCTGGGGCTTCTYGTGCCTCTCTCTCACCCCAGTGATAATTATCTTGGCACAAAACCTGGCCTACRTACAGTTGTGAACATCCAGCTGCATTTCGGCAGCCTGGAAACCCGAAACGTGCTCGGCACCGTTGCCCTGGCTCCTTAGCAGCCTAACCAAGGGTAGCGGAGATGCTTTTCAGAAGGCCTCTGCCTCCTTCAAGGTATTTGTCAAAAGCTGCGTAGCGTAATTAGTATGCTAAAAGCACCCATATTAAAAACTAATTAAGAAGCAGCATCCTTGATGTTTCTGCCGTGGAGAAGTTAATACAGGGAGCGCGGAGCACAATAGACCAGTTTCCTTTTTTTAATAGTCGATGTCTTAATAGCTGTCTTCATCTATTACGGCAAAATATAACGTGACCGCCCTAATCAACTGCTCACGTTTTATAAGTGGTATCAGCTCTGTTAATTAACTCAAGTTTTAAGAAGCTGGGGAAGCTGAAGGCTGCTGTGCTTTCATTCCGTGCGCCACTAAGCTGATTTTCATTGATTTGTGCATGCGAATTAATCAGCCGTCCAAGTACTTAGTTATTCCATTTGCCTGTGTGCTGGTTTTTTTTTTCTTTCCCCGCTTGTAAATGATATCTTTGAAGTTTATTAAAGGAGTGAGTCATGTTGTAGCTTCCTAAGAATTTTCCYCCTCTGTAGTCATACATTTTTCATGCTGCGGAATCGTAATCTGTATAATGAACGAGGGGAAAATGGTGCTATATGGAGCTGTGTCTGTACAGCTGAACTTTGGAGATACATATCCCATTATTTGCGTGGCTGGCTGCACTAATACAAGCACATTGAAAATATTTCCCAGACTTTCAGAGCTGGGCTAAAAAATTAATGTACTTGCCCTGTTCAATACTCCCTGGGCTTGTCTTCTGTTGTGTGTAGCAGACCTGTTTCCACGCTGGCTCTGAGTTATGGTACGCGGCTTTAATATGCTTTGCTCAGGCAGATTAATAGAGGAGGTCCATCATAAATTAAAAAGTGAGAAGGCAATCGCTTCCCAARCTTGTACAGTTTGCAATTACCCTGGTTTCTTTGTAGCCCCATTTGAGAATCTGCCTGGTGCAGCAGGCTTCGCCTGGCTCTAATTTCAAATGTTTGCAAAGGACCCGTCTCTGTTTAGTGCTGACCGTGGCACGTTCAGCTTTAATGTGGCTGAATTAGAGCTCGACAATGTAATATTAGGCAGGACCAGGTGCCATAAACATAATTCGGATGCAAATACCATTTAAAAGGAAATAGAAGTGTTCTCTGCAGAGAAAAGCATGAGAACTGAGAACATAATCATCCATAAAATTGTGTGTGCTGTGTTTTAAAGACGCATGCTTGATAGGATTTTGTGACCAGAATAAAATAGCTCAAACAAAGAGCAAAGATGATAAAACTACCAGGAGAGTTTATGGGAGGCTTGAGTTTTTGTTGGGAAGAAGAGCCAAGTTTCTGATGGAATTTTGAATGAATTTACCCTTTTGGGTGTCCTTGGGCTTGTACCCTGCATTGCAATGCRTTAGGTTAAACCAGTTCTATGAGCCAGGAATGAATTTTATCTGGAAAGGAAGAAAGAAGAAAAATATACTTTTGAAAGCCACGTTGAGCTAACTTATGGGAATTTTACTAAGTTAATTCAAGATGGGACAAGGCAGTAGTGAAACTGAGGTCACGGTAAACACTAAACCAGAAACTTGGGAGCTTCGAGCGATCGTATCTCCAAATTAATAGAACAAAGGATCACAAARTTATGAGATTAGGAGGAGCTGCTTTGCTCTGCTGCAGTTTCTGGAGAGGTTGTGGGGTTGGGCTCTCTGAGTACCAGCCATCTCAGTGCGTCGACTGAGCCGCAATGGAGAACGAATATTGCAATTACCTGTAGGATCACAGTGGCTGTTGCAACTAAAGCACATAAATGTGCTCGTGCCTTGGTTCAGTGTAGGGTGYAATGGAAACAAAGGTCCCACCTCACCCCTTTCTCCCTCAGGCTGATTGGTGAGGCAGGGGATTGCAGTGGGAGGCGGAGGAAGACCTGCCCCAAGAACCCGCTGTCTCTCTACTGGTTTAACGCAGAGGGGACAGTTAAACATAGATGAAAACATCTTTTGAGCAACGTCACTTCATAATTCAGCGACTAGATCTTTGCATGCACAAGAGACAGAGTCAAAGATGGATTTTTAAGTTCCCGATGTTTATTGTATTAACTTAAACAAAAGGATGTGAGAGTAGTATCAGCTGGATTGAGTTCTTATACAGGAGTGTATGGGTTTGGGGATCTGCTTGGATACTTGGTGTAGAATAATCTTCAGTACTGAAAAATAATCAGATGGTTTATGAAGTAAGCAACGGACACTTCTGTGCCTTTAGTTTAAAGGTGGCCAAAGATGATATATATATATATATATTTTTTTTTTTTCCTGCTCAGGTTTCTTGGAAACCTCTCATGCTCTTTTAATATCATATCTAAGACCAAGGAAGGCWTAGAGCAGTTCTATACACTCGTCCTGCTATGAATAGTAACACCCAGAAACAATAAACAGTTTGAACAGTAAACACCCAGAACAAATACTTGGAAGGTATTTGGTTTTGGGGTTGTTTTAATTGCATTTGGCATTGCCATTCCACCCATTTATGGATAACCTTGCTTATTTACTCATACCYTCAGGCATTTACCCTGGCAAACTTGAAGGTGTATAATTGAGTGCTTTGAATTTCCTGCTTGSCTCCTGCATCTGCCCTGTGGGTCTGAGAGTGTCTGCTCCCACATCCCATCCTCGTGCAGTTCCCACTAGCTCCTGATCCTACCTCGCTTCTTGAGCGGGCCCCATTTGGGCCAGTTGGCTTTGCCAACACAATTTGTGCATCTTGTTCTTGGCCTGGACTCCCTCATCCTGAATTTGTGCAGGCACCATCACGCCTGTGCTCAGAAGCTACGTTACGGTGGGGGAATGTTGAGCAGTTGGGACAAATGTCCCTTATCTCTCCTTTTTRATGGGGACGATGCATACCTAGCTGCCTTCTCATCTAGATGAAATGCGGGAGAAGCAAGGAGGAATCTACTCAATATCTTCATTAAAATGGTATCACTGCATGCTGAGAAGCATCCAGTGTCTATTAAAGAAATCCATGCAGATAGCGCTGCTGATACGGAGCCAGAATGCTACAAATAGGCTTGAAAGCTGGTGGTTTGTGTTTCTTCAGCTAGACGTGGGAGGCGAGACAGAATCCTTCACCCAGTTTCTAAAATCCCGTGGCCTTCTGAGGATGACAATATGAGAATGTTCATTCTTTCATCAACGTGTCAATATCTGTGGTGGAGTATGAAGTCCRTGGAGGTAGGTCCAGGGTGGGGGCAGAGCTGGCTGGCAGGGGAGCTCCTGCACTCTGTGCCGTGGATGCCCTAAAGCCAGGAGCTTGCTGCTGTGCAACTCCGGTCCTTCAACAGCCGGATGCTGAGGAGTGTCTGGAAACCAGAAGAGAGCAGGACCTTTATCTAAGTTGGGACTTCACTCTTGCAACTTAGGGAAGGATGTGCAGAGGATGCCGTGGGTTGGAACGACACTGGATAGGCATCGATCCATGCAAATTCACAGCTTCTCAGCCTCTAATACATGATTTTTGTTTTTTTTTCTCGTGTGGCTTGCACTTGCAGTTAGCCTTTGTCTTCAGAAATCACAAGTTTCATAGATAAYGTTGGCCTTGTCCTACCCTTGCACTATCTACACTTTCTTTGGTGTTTTTTCTCTTTGTGCTCTCAAGAATCGCACATTTTGTGTGCATGCAGAGAGAAGAGAAATATGTTTTTGCACACTTGCAGAGAGATGTGTTTTGTCCCCCTTTTTCTGGCAGGAAAGGATTTTAGAAAATCTGCTGTTTCTCTGTCCTCGAGCTGCTCCTGCCCTGCCAGCATCTGCACCTACTTTCTGCTAATAAACTGCATCTCTGCCAAGACGTGATCTGTGCGCTGTGCAGCTTGTCCCACTGATATGCATGGGTAGATTAGATGTTGGAAATGCCCATTTTTCACAGAAGAACAGGGATCCCGCTTCTTCTGTAAAATAACCCATAATCACAGAGGAACTTGAGATCTCCAGATCCTAGCATTTACGTGGAAAGGGTGTTTTATTCAAAATCTTCAGTAAATTGCAACTGCACAAATGTATGTTCTCATAGCACAGGGCTACTTACCGTTAACTGGTTCTCATTACACAGGTTGTGCAAGAAAGGGAGAAAATGGACTTCCTGAGCACAGGGGCTATCTGTAATGCTGATTGCCAAAATCATCTGGGTCTGGAGCAGTTACAGCAATTGTCTACAAGGAAAAGGAGCAGGAGGCAGACAGCCTGTTTTAACTGTCTGATAATTAAATTTAACAGCTGGAAGCAGGGAGAGCCAGCGCCGCCAGGCTGCTGGAGCTTCCCCGGAGCACAGTTAGGGAGGATGACTGATATGGTTCTTCTGCAAGGGTGTTGGAAAGCAGTTCGTAGGGATCAGAAAGGGTAGTGGCAGACATCTAAGATGGGGAGGGAACTTGAGACTTCTGCAGCACACAGGGCAGTTATACATTGAATTGCAGTCCTGCGTGGTGTTGAACGAGAGTTTTGCAAGCCTTTTTTTTCTGTCTACCTCATGCTTTTTTTGGAAATGCTAAGTGACGTTCCTGAATGTCCTTTGGTAACTTAAACATGCAAACACCATCCATTTGGATGTTTTTAAGAGTGTCTTTACAGGAGAGAGCACAACCTGTTTCACTGAAGAACCTCAGCACACAACRGTTTGGAGGCTTATCAGTAGGGAAAAAGCCAGGTTTGGGAATGTCTGCAAATCCGGATGCCTTTCTGCAAGACACAGTGTGAAAGATGGGAGAAGAGGGGGCAGAACAGGCATTCTTCAGCAGATGGTGTGGCGCTACCTTAAGCTTTCCAGGAGTAAGATGATGATGATGGTGTCTGTGTTTCTCGTCAGGGAGTGACTTACTGCGGCGAAAGCTCGGCCAGCAACCTGACCATGGCCAACGTGCCCTGGCATGAGGAGGTGGTGCATTTTGTTCAGGAGCTGGCTGACCTCATCCCGGACTACGAAATTGCCTGCGAACACGAGCACTCCAACTGTCTCCTGATCGCTCACAAGAAGGTAAGACCCCTCTGGGCCAGGGCAACGCGTGCAGCAGCCACCTTCAAGCGTTGCACAGCAGCTCCGTTCCAACAAATTTTCCCTCTGAAGCTGAATGGTAGTTTGGAAAAGAAAGGTCTTCTAGCACGTKCTGCAGAGCGCTCTGCAGACTAGTTAATAAAACCATTGCAGGATTCAGCTGGTGCTCCTAAGTCACAGCAGTGATTCAAGCAAGAAGCCATTGCAAGAAGAGCTCCTTACAGTATCGTTTGTGCTTTCAGTTGCACTTGTTGCTTTGAATTTTGAGAAGGGCAAGAGCAAATTGTGTTGAGGTGGGTCAGTTGTCTTCATCTTGTTCCTATATCCCTTTTTCCCTGACAGCTTTCACCAGTAAGTGCAGCTATTTTCTCTAGTTGTTGTATGCAGCACCCTGTAAGGAAGGGAGCAGAGTAGCTTAGAGTTGTGTTCTTCCTCTCCTGCATCTTGGTGATCCCTGCCAAAATTATAGTCTTCCTTATAGTCAGAGTAGGAATAATGTTTGCCTTCCTTCGGAGAAGCAATTTGGGCAAAAGACAAATTGATGCATGGATGGTGACCCAGCAGGGTTTCCTTTTTGAATCAAAATTGCCTTCCTGTAAAACTTGTCTCAAGGGCAAATGAAACAATTGGCATAAATTTTTATACCCCTTCTCCATCCTGGCAGTGGAGAAGAGGTTGTAGCCCTGCCCTGTGACGCCAGAGCAGCMTCCCTCCCACTGCCAGAGGGCTTTGCCGGCCGGGCGTGTTTCGGTGGTGCGTACACGTCTGCTTGGAGCCCTGCTTGAAAAATAGGTGAAAATGCCCCCTCAGTTTTTAAGGATRCAGAATATGAAAAAACTATTAAGCACAACTTGGCATTCTGGGCTCCAGCACAGCTTAATATAGAGATAATAAACGTGTAATAACGTGCCAGTGAGGTAACTGATGGAGCAGCTACTTGTGTGCTGATTTTGCTCTTTGCGTTCGCTTCCCGCCCTTTTGCTGAAGTCGCCTGTACCCCCTCRTCCCGCGGCTAGGAGGGGAGCTGGGGCTGGTGAGCGGTGGGCAGGGCTTTGTGCACAGGGGGATTCTGACCACCTTGCAGGTCGCACGGTTCCTGATGGCTTGAAAAACTCACGTACAGAAAATGAGAAAGATTTTTTTTTTTTAATCAGTGCTTGGAAATAATTAGAATCGTTGTTGGAAAACTCCCAGCGGAGAGTTGCAAATTGCAAAGAAAGTGACCCAGATTTGTCACTTATGGGAGTGGGTAGGAAGGAGAAGAAAAAAACGAGAAACATTGCACAATTTTTGTTTTAATGCACCTTAAAGTTGCTTTATTTACCCCGTAAGGCTCAGATATTGCCACCGACATCTCCACCTGAGCAAATCCTTGAGTACAAATGCTCCTGTCCCCTTCYAAGGTGAAAGGCCCAGGGAGCAGAGGGAAAGCAGTTTCTGCCTAAGGTATTGATGCATAATTTAAGCAACACCGTTAGTAACAAGAATAGATTGATACCAGCCCAGGAGGAATTCAACAGCTGTTYAGCTTTCCAAATCCATTAGAAGGGGGCGTCTTTTGGAAGCAATCTCTACTTGGGTACTAAAATAACTAATAAAAGCTAAATTTATTCCTTATTACTTTTAATTCTGAATTTCAGGCTCCAGTGGAGAATAAAATTTGTCAGTCCTTGTTATTTGCAGGAAACCGGTGCTGGGGGAGCAATCAAACTAGTGAGTAATTGCAAAATCAAAGATATATTTAAAACAAGAAGTTAAGGAGTTGCTCAAAGCGGGTAATAAAAATCATCAGCAAATATGATTTGTTTCATTGTGGTTTACTAGATTTGAGTTTTGTAGTGTTCCAATGAAAATATTTGGGGTGTTCAGATGAAGTGGTTTGGAGTGAAATTAATAATTTTAAAAGCTGGTATTGAAAGGCCAGGCTATACAAAAGGATATGGGACTGTCAGAGAAATAACATGTCTTGATTACAGCCCCTGCTCCTCCTCTTCAGGACAATCGTTGATTGGCGTTTATTTGCTTGATGAATTAGAGTTTAGGACTTAGGCCCTGAAGTCTCTTAACGCCAGGGATTTAGGTTGAAAAGGGGATTTAGGGAGAGGCAACTGCAATTTATATGTCTAGCAGAACTTTTGTATCTCAGGAAGTTGAGAGGAGATAGAGAGGATCCATTTGGATTTTTGAGGTGCTTTAGTTTCTCAAAAAAAGTGGCATTAGGCTTCCAAGTCTTCCCTCGCTCCATTATTTTTTGACATGAAGTAGGTTCCTTGTGTCGAGATTTCCCTCTAAAATCGAACACTCGGTGCTTTTGAGAGTGCTGCTTCTGGGAGTGACTCCCAAAGGGAGGTGAAATGACTTCCCCTTATCTCGGTGAGCTTTGAGGCTGACTGTCAGGGCTACACTGCTCACTATAACCTTAAAAACTTAAGCCTCCTATAAAAAGGTTTGTTTTCCACGATAATATGGACAGACATCTTAAAAAAAAAAAAAAAAAAAAAAAAAAAAAGCTATGTAAATCCTGTGTCTCGCAGTATACAACAAGAAGTGAGAGCAAGACTTGGATGCAACCCTCCATTGGGTTGTTCTGGGCTGCCCTGTGTATGAGGACTGACCTAGCTTGTCTTCTGTGTCTCCCTGCTGACCTTCTAGGACCCTTTTTGCAAGCTGTTTTCATCTCTCCTTGAGATGTGTCCATGCATTTTGACCCCATCCTCTTGGATTTTGCTTTCTTTAGCACTAGCACTGAGTTCTTGAGTAATTATATTTGTTTTGTAGCAAATCCTATAAACACCAAAGTGCAAACATTGAATTTCTCATAATACTTTTGAGTTAATTGGCTGAGATACTGAGACAGCAACAACTTTATCACATAATAATTCCAGCAACCTTTTCCAGAGAGGCAACTGAGGCAACTGGCTCTCCTTGGACTGTAACAATTAATGTACCCTTGAGGTGAGCGGGATGAGTGGCTGTTAAAGGCAAAAGCAGGTGCCTTGGAATGCTTTTTTGAACRAGAGTGATTGTAGCTTGTTGTTTAGTGTCTTAGACTTCTTTCTGGGTTACCTGGTTTGATTTCCATGTCAGTGAGGCTTGAAATCCCACCCTTTGCTGTTCTGTAGAAATCTCATGAGGTGTGAATCGAGCGGCTGGAGCTCAGAAGAGTTGCTGCAGTGATCCTTCTTGCCTTTTACTGGGAGGTCTGTGTCCACACCCAGCATCCMAACACTCTTCAGGACTGTTTGATTGGGCACCATGATTTTGTCTTGYACCTTTGCTTCTCTCCCGTGTTATTTCCTGGTTGGGAGCCGACTGTGCTAGATGTTGCCTGCTCCGGTGYCGTAGGGTAGCAGTAGACATGTGGTGGCAGCACAGCAGGTTTCCTCTCCTCTCAGAGCATAAGGTGCCAAATGAAACGAGTCAGCTGCTTTTAGGAAATTCTCTGCAATGATACGGTCAATGAGACTGTTTTYCTCCATCTCCGAGGCCAAGTGCAAGAGGGTATCATCAGAGAATGACGCTGCACATTGATGAGGTCAGTATCAAAGACTGGTTGGAGAAAAGCAGCGTTTTTAAGGGCATGACTCTCCTCCTCTTGCTCTCCTGGAGGAGACGAGAGGAAGTCAAGGCTTCCCTTGCCAAGAGCCGTCTGGCTTTTGCCTGTCTGCATGGTTTTGTTGCTGCCTCAGAAGGATGCACTACCTAGCTCTTCAGCACCCAAGGCAGATGTGGTGTTCTTGAATCCAAATGGGTGGGGACAAGTGGTACCTGGGCAGATGTGCTCCTCACTGTCCATCAGTGAAGAAAGATATCCAGCAAGGAGGAAACCAGGCTTCTTGTTTTCACTAGGCTTTCCAGCACCGCCTGTATCTGTGCCTTGGGGGGCCCTGATGGGTGAGGGCTTCACACACGTCCCGACGGTGCTGCAACAGGCTCGAGAGGTTGGGTGAAAGACACTGAAGTTGTTCCATGCTGAGCATTTCATCTATATTTAGGGAGGAAAAGGAAGCACTTAACCACCAGCTGCAGATGGACTATTTTTCTCTAAYACAACCCTTGTTAGTCAATCATGTTGTGTTTCCTTCCTGCCTCGCAAATCATTTGGAGAGCGCAGGCTGTCCCTGTGACCCAGCATCCAAGGCGCAGAGTTTGGGTTCTGTTCTCGCTGTCTGTAACATTACCTCTGTGTTGCCCCGTAAAGATGTGGGGTTACAATAAAAGAGCAAAACCCACCTTGATTTGCTGCTTCTGTGTTGGAAGGTTAGCAACCAGGTGTGGCATCTTGGTGCTTGCAGCAGATGCAGGACGTGGAGCGACGCCCCATCCAAGGGCAACGCGTTTGAGCATCTGAAGTGCGATGTCACTGCAGGCCTCAGTCTGAAACACCGTGTTCTCAGTGGAGCTTTTCTGTTGTTGCTCTCTAAATAGGAAGGTGGCTCTGCTGTGCTTGATCTGTTCGTTATTAAAAGAAGATCCCAGTTACGCTAAAGTAATCTGGTTTTCATCCATCAGAATTAAAACTATCTGGATGTCACCCTGGCTTAATTGGCAGATGAGTTGCTCTGTTCTGCAGCTGGTAAGGATTTTAAAAAAATCTGCAATAATGAATCTTTTATTTAGAGTAATTCACCCAAGATTAGATTTAATAAATAGAAGCTAATGAGTTATGGAGGAAGCATCCCATGAGTAAAGGGCAATATGCTGCCAGTGAGGGTTGATACAAGCCCAGCAGTGCACGAGCCAGGTTAGTTTTGCTTTGATTCAGGATTGGGTTTTAGGTTTCAAAATACAGCAGGAAACTCCACTTCCAAGAGCTCTAGTTSCCAGCTTTGAAAGATATTCGTCTGCTTTAAGGTGGCTGATTGCTGAGGGGTTTCTATTTAAATCACTGCTGTATAACAACAAAAGTACCATATCGCTTCGATCTCAATCAGATGGACATTTCTGGTATTGTTAACTGTCTGTAGATCCCATTTGCTATG